CGGAGCAGACACACACGCACGTGTTCATCTGATAACAAACATGTGTTCTCCTGGAACACATACACGTGTCTGATAAGAACACACATGTGTGTACACGTGAACACACATATGTGTACACGTGCAACACGCATATGTGCGCACGTGAACGCACATATGTGTACATGTGGAACACACATATGTGCACACGCGAACACACACACACACACATATATATATATATATATGCGCGCCCGGAACACGCACACACACACATGCGTACACCTGGAACACATATGTGTGTATGTCTGGAAAGCACATTTCTGTTCACCTGCAACACACATATGTGTTCACCTGGAACCCATATATGCGCTCACTTGGAACAGGCATTTGTGTTCACGTGCGACACTGGTGCAGACCTGGATCACACAAGCATGTTTAACCAGAACAAACTTCTGTGTTGACTTGTAACACACATATGTGTACACATGGAACACACGTGTGTGCACATGTGGAGAAACATGTGCAACACAAATGTGCAACACACATGCGTTCACCTGGACAACAAAAATGTGTTCACATGGAATTTACATTTCCTGCACGCCTGGGCGACACATAAATCAAGTTCCCGAAGCCGGCTGTGAGGCGCTATTCCATGGGGCTCTGCCTTGAACAACGCTTGTGTTTTATATGCGTGTTCCAAGTAGGAAAATAGTGTTCGTGTACGATCAATCTAGCTTTTTTGCAACACATTGCTAGCGCGCGAGCTGCTGCTGCTGCTGCTGCTACTACTGCTAGTACTATCAGTATCGGATGCGTCTCCAGCAGTTACAGGCTTCAGCTTAGCAAAAGCTTTCCGGCGCATTGCGCTTCTTTCTCGCTTAGCTGCACAGTGTCTTTCGTATCGATTGCTAAAGTGCTTTGATCGTATTGTGGCAACTCTTCGTATCGATTCAGTAAAGCATTTGCTTTCGCAGGGAAATACGCAACCCAATTCTTCCGTATGCTCGGTACAAGGCATCCCTGCCGTCTTGCCTCAGCCGTTGTTTCTCCCCTTTGTCCAGCAAATCGCACTCCATGATAATTGCATGCGAGGAGAGCGGAAGCAAATTTGGATTGAAGCGTAACTGGGAACCGGTCACAGCTGACCACTGCGCTAGCGCCTTGCTAGCGCGCGGCTAGCGCGGGTTCGCCGTATTTTTTGGAGTCACGGCGACCATCTGTGTGGATTTGACAAATTAAGGCCACGTAAGATGAAGGTAAACGTGCGGGCTGGCTTCAAGTACTAAGTAAGAACTGCAACATTACACCCTTGAAAGCCACGCAAAGCCCATCGCGGCAACCCACGCGCCAACTCTTGGAAACCAAGATCACCGAAGACCCTAGCGCAAACCAAGCGCCATCCTAGCGCCTCCAGTGGGGAGCGGGCAATCCATTGGTATTTGCAGGACTCCGCTTTGTGTGAATGAAAAACTGCACAAAGTGACTGCGACGGTGGCCTCTGTAGACTAAACCCCCTTACTAGGAATTTTGACCGGATCGCATATGTGTTTTATCAGAACAATCGCATGCTTTCACCTGGAACACAAACATGTGCTGACGTGGAACACACTCATGTGGTCACATGCAAAAAGTGCGTGTTCACTTGGAACGCGCCGATGTGGTCAGCTGGAACACACCAAGAACACACAATCATTTACTTGAAGCACTCGTACGTGCATCCGCAGCATGCTGCCTGTGGCTTGATCAAGCGCACGCCCGCGCTCAAACACACGTTTCTGAGCCTCAAACACACATGCGTGCCCGCGGAATACACCGCGAATGACCAGGGAGCCGTGCCAGGCATCCAGGCTGGGGGACAACAAGAAGGAGACAAAGGGAGACAAATGAACCCGTCCGCCCGGAGAGCCGTGCCAGACATCCAAGCTGGGAGACAAACGAATCCGTCCACCCAGAGAGCCGTGACAGGCATCCAGGCTGGGAGACAACCGGGGCTAAACAAAGGGAGACAAAGGGAGACAAATGAATCTGTCAGGCAAATGAAGGGAGAGGAACCCGTCCGCCGGGAGAGCCGGGACAACCCCAGGTGCCAAGAGCACCACTGGGTATCTCGGCGTAGGTTCGTTGAACATCATCAAAGAATCGAAAGACGATTTAACTCCAGCGTGATTCACGTTTGTTTCACCGGGGGGTTAACAGAGCCTTCTCGTAGCTGAAGCCGTGCACCGCAGCGCACCGCTCTCGTCAGCTCGGGACTCCAAATGCGAGCAAGGACAGAGAGAGGCCGCAACTGATAACGAGGCACTGAACGAACAGACAGGGTGTAGCCAACGATAGACAAGGAAGACGACCCACCACGAGCCCAAGCAAAATCGAAGTCCAGATGAAGGGCAGACAGAGGACCCTGTCCCCAACATCCACAAGACAAGGAATGACCGAAGCCAGGGCCGAAGCCGAAGGCAAACCAGACCCCGCCAAAAGGACAGAACCGCGGGAAGTGAAGGAAACCGCGGAGCGTGAGTGCCACACATCCAGGCTGGGAGACAACGGGAGACAAATGAATCCGTCCACCCAGAGGGGCATCCAGGCTGGGAGACAACGGGAGACAAACAAAGGGAGACAAAGGGAGACAAATGAATCCGTCCACCCAGAGAGGCATCCAGGCTGGGAGACAACGGGAGACAAATAAAGGGAGACAAAGGGAGACAAATCAATCCGTCCACCCACAGAGATGGGAGACAAATGAAGGGGAACCAAGGGAGACAAGTGAATCCGTCCGCCTGGAGAGCCGTGACAGACATCCAGGCTGGGAGACAAGGGGAGCCAAATGAAGGGAGACAAAGGGAGACAAGTGAAACTGTCCACCCAAAGAGCCGTGCCAGGCATCCAGGCTGGGAGACAACGGGAGACAAATGAAGGGAGACAAAGGGAGACAAGTGAATCTGTCCGCCTGGAGAGCCGTGCCAGACATCCAGGCTGGGAGACAACGGGAGACAAATGAAGGGAAACAAAGCCCAGAGAGCCGTGCCAGACAAATGAAGGGAGACAAAGGGAGACAAATGAACCCGTCCACCCAGAGAGCCGTGCCAGGCATCCAGGCTGGGAGGCAACGGGAGACAAATGAAGGGAGACAAAGGGTGACAAATGAACCCGTCCACCCAGAGAGCCGTGCCAGGCATCCAGGCTGGGAGACAACGGGAGACAAATGAAGGGAGACAAAGGGAGACAAATGAACCCCTCCACCCCAGAGAGCCGTGACAGGCGTCCAGGCTGGGAGACAACCGGGGCCAAATAAAGGGAGACAAAGGGAGACAAATGAATCCGTCAGGCAAATGGAGGGAGAGGGAGACAAATGAACCCGTCCGCCGGGAGAGCCGGGACAAGCCCAGGTGCCAAGAGCACCACTGGGTATCTCAGCGTAAGGTTCGTTGAACATCCTCGAAGAATCGATAGAGGATTTAACTCCAGCGTGATTCACGTTTGTTTCACCGGGGGGTTAACAGAGCCTTCTCGTAGCTGAAGCCGCGCACCGCAGCGCACCGCTCTCGTCAGCTCGGGACCGCAACTGATAACGAGGCACTGAACGAACAGACAGGGTGTAGCCAACGATAGACAAGGAAGACGACCCGCCACGAGCCCAAGCAAAATCGAAGTCCAGATGAAGGGCAGACAGAGGAGGACCCTGTCCCCAACATCCACAAGACAAGGAATGACCGAAGCCAGGGCCAAAGCCGAAGGCAAACCAGACCCCGCCAAAAGGACAGACCGCGGAGCGTGAGTGCCACACATCCAGGCTGGGAGACAACGGGAGACAAATGAATCCGTCCACCCAGAGAGCCGTGCCAGGCATCCAGGCTGGGAGACAACGGGAGACAAATAAAAGGAGACAAAGGGAAACAAATGAATCCGTCCATGCACAGAGATGGGAGACAAATGAAGGGGAACCAAGGGAGACAAGTGAATCCGTCCGCCTGGAGAGCCGTGACAGACATCCAGGCTGGGAGACAACAGGAGCCAAATGAAGGGAGACAAAGGGAGAAAAGTGAATCTGTCCACCAAAAAAACAGTGCCAGGCATCCAGGCTGGGAGACAACGGGAGACAAATGAAGGGAAACAAAGGGGTGCCAGACATCCTGGGAGACAAAGGTAGACAAATGAACCCGTCCACCCAGAGAGCCGCGCCAGGCATCCAGGCTGGGAGACAACGGGAGACAAATGAAGGGAGACAAAGGGAGACAAATGAACCCGTCCACCCAGAGAGCCGTGCCAGGCATCCAGGCTGGGAGACAACGGGAGAAATCAAGGGAGACAAAGGGAGACAAATGAACCCGTCCACCCAGAGAGCCGTGCCAGGCATCCAGGCTGGGAGAGAACGGGAGACAAATGAAGGGGACAAAGGGAGACACATGAACCCGTCCACCCAGAGAGCCGTGCCAGATCCAGGCTGGGAGACAACGGGCGACAAATGAAGGGAGACAAAGGGAGACAAGTGAATCTGTCCACCCAGGCATCCAGGCTGGGAGACAACGGGAGACAAATGAAGGGAGACAAAGGGAGACAAATGAACCCGAGCCGCGCCAGGCATCCAGGCTGGGAGACAAATGAAGGGAGACAAAGGGAGACAAATGAACCCGTCCACCCAGAGAGCCGTGCCAGGCATCCAGGCTGGGAGACAACGGGAGACAAATGACAAAGGGAGACAAATGAACCCGTCCACCCAGACTGGATCATCCAGGCTGGGAGACAACGGGAGACAAATGAAGGGAGACAAAGGGAGACAAGTGAACCCAGGGAGACAAACGAACGCGTCCACCCAGAGAGCCGTGCCAGGCATCCAGGCGGGGAGACAACGGGAGACAAATGAAGGGAGACACAGGGAGACAAATGAACCCGTCCACCCAGAGAGCTGTGCCAGGCATCCAGGCTAGGGCTTGGCAACAGGCGAGCCACCTTAAATGAATTTAGAACCCCTCACAGTAAACTGTTTGGGGAATGATGACATGCTCAAGTTCTTGGGCTCCAAGGTCTGCAGTCGAGCTCCGCAATAAGCTTGCACAAGATTCGAGGATGGGAGATTGGCGTGCCATGCGTTGACACGAGCCAGCGTGTCGGCGAACTGCCAGTTGATTCTTGTGCTGGGCTGATGATGTGGCCCAAGTTGAGTCTCGATTCGAAGCCCAGAACACCTTAAGATAAGTAGTGGCGGATATGGCATTGTTTGTACCTGCACGGTTGACTCGGAGAGGTTCGTCCCTTTCATGTGACTGCTTGGGTTCAATGGTCAGGCTTGCTGAAATAGTTGGTGCAGCTTCGGGGCAGCTTAATTCCAAATAAATGTTGCTTCCGCTTGGCTGTTTTGGCAAATTTGCCCATTGCTGCCAGCCGTCAGCTTGCACTTCTTCTAAAACATATTGCCCGCGACATTGCGTGCAGGAGTCTTGCACGCGGCCGGCGGACCCAAGCTGCCAAGCATCGAAGCACGAGAAGGACTGCGGGCCGAATCTATGACCATGTCAGCGCCGCTTGCCCACCGAATGCATGTTGCAGGCTGATCAATTTGCCATGGCGAGGTCACCTGTCAGGTAAAACGGATGTACCATGATAACGATCCCTTACTTGGTGTTTTTTGAGATTCTTAGTCTCATTGTAAACTTGCAGGTCAATAATTCAATATTGTGAAAAAGCCTGCATGGAGCAGCTTTGAGCTGTTGATTTGGCGCTGTTGGATTGAATTCAAGTTCTTCCAGCCTTTTGCGATGGCAGAGTCTTCTAAGCTCCTGGTTGCGGAGAAGCAACAACAGCCCAGCCTGGCCCACGAGTGGCAGGAGTGCAGACTGGGCTGATAGCCGCAGGCACTTGGGAAACCTGAGCCTTGGGTTGGGGCAGAAGGGTGGACGCGCACATGTGCTTGGGGTGAGAGCCCCACATCCTTACAGGTTTCACGGGCATTCAAACAGGAAAGTCGCCCAGCTGGTGCTTGCTGGCCTTGCCTGGCACATCTAGCGGCAGATGCAGCTGAGATGTGATGTCTTCTTGCCAGGCATGAACAAGAGTGTGTCGCTGCCGGCCATCCGCAAGTTGCGGCCGCACTTTGCCGCTTGCTTGCATGTGTTGCATCAGAGGTTGGTGCGGGGTTTGTTCTGTTGGGCTGCAATCTAGACTGCAGTGGGCGGTGAACGCACCACAGGAGGATGCCAGGGTGGCTTGTGGAGACCGAGACAAATGTATACCCCTGATTAGAAAACCCCTCCAGGTTGACATGGTCCAGAAAACAAGATCCCTATCAATCCGATCTCCAGTCTTTGGTCCCATGCTTTGCGTCCGACCAGTGGTACCTGCGGGCTTGCACAGCAGAGTGCACTAGTGAGATTCCCAATACCCTATGCCTCAGCTTACGTGTTTGTCAAACTAACCCCCCCCAAAGACCAACACAACTCGAGTTGTTGCGTTGTTTGGACATTTGGAAGGGTCGAGTTTACATTGTTTTATTGTTGCACATATCAAGCAGGAATAAACATTGCAGGGGTAAAACACAAGAAAACACTTAAAGTGGAATGCTCGCAGAGACCAAAGTTTGGTTAGGGGTTTTGCACATGCACTTTCATGAGTTGCCGTGGGCGCATCTACGCAGAGATACTTGCGCAGAGCAACTTGCGCAGCACCATCTGCACAGAGCCACTTGCGCAGTGCAACTTGCGCAGAGCATCGCAGAGCCATCACATGGAGGCAAGTAGTCTGGGAAGGCGTAGTCTGAGGAGCTGGGCGTGAAGAGTTGGGTTCTTGGGCCCGGTGATAGCAACTATCAAAGTTAAGGCTTCAGGCTTCTATAGAGAAGGTTGTTGACACGCGTGGGGGAGCTCGGTGCTAAACAAAGTGCTTTTTCTGGAGGGGGGGGGCCAGGGCGGTCAATAAAACAGTGTTAAACAATGGTGTAGGATGGCAGACCTGAGGCAATTGTCCTACACGTCGTCGGGCGCGTGGATTTTCAAAAGCTACAAACCCACAAGCAGAGAAACAAACTTCACCAGCATTCGCAACGCGGTTGCCCTACACCTCGCGCAGGCAGGTTCTCAAGTTGCCACAGAGTTCGGCGGCAAAAGCCGGCGAGTATGCAATTTAGTTTTTGCGTGTCTAACATTCACCGATGTAGACATTCTCACTCCGTAGAACAACTCAAGGAAGATCAAGTTTCTCGTTTTAAGGTCCGCAATATCAGCATAAGGTTGACGCCCGAACTTCGATTGTTGGGACTCCTTATGTGGTCCCGCCTTGATGGGCATCATGCTGCGCAAACACACACCTGAGTGTGGAAAAATGCGGGGGGCATTTGTGATTGCAAAGAGAACACTCTCGCACGCGCTCCAAGCACACGTGAATATATGCTCGGCACACGCGCCGTGCGCGCGGAACACGCATACGCACAAGCGCGCGGAACATATTTGCTGCATATAATGTGTACGCTGTGAACATGAGAACACACGTGTGTACTCCCTGGGCACGAAGAGCACAAATTTCCCAGTTCGCGCGACAAAGCACGTGTATGCTGAGCTTTCAGAAGCGCACACCTCCAAACACAGAGCGAATAAGTATGGAAAAGGAAAATCACAACACACACGCGGCTTCCGCGGTGAACACACACGTGTGCAAACTCCAAACTGCACACGCGCACACGAACACACACGAACACACACGAACACACACACACACACACACACACACACACACACACACACGCACGCACGCACGCACGCACGCACGCACGCACGCACGCACGCACGCACGCACGCACACGCACGCACGCACGCACGCACGCACGCACGCACGCACGCACGCACGCACGCACGCACGCACGCACGCACGCACGCACGCACGCACGCACGCACGCACGCACGCACGCACGCACGCACGCACGCACGCACGCACGCACGCACGCACGCACGCACGCACGCACGCACGCACGCACGCACGCACGCACGCACGCACGCACGCACGCACGCACGCACGCACGCACGCACGCACGCACGCACGCACGCACGCACGCACGCACGCACGCACGCACGCACCCACGCACCCACGCACCCACGCACCCACGCACCCACGCACCCACGCACCCACGCACCCACGCACCCACGCACCCACGCACCCACCCACGCACGCACGCACGCACGCACGCACGCACGCACGCACGCACGCACGCACGCACGCACGCACGCACGCACGCACGCACGCACGCACGCACGCACGCACGCACGCACGCACGCACGCACGCACGCACGCACGCACGCACGCACGCACGCACGCACGCACGCACGCACGCACGCACGCACGCACGCACGCACGCACGCACGCACGCACGCACGCACGCACGCAGCACGCACGCACGCACGCACGCACGCACGCACGCACGCACGCACGCACGCACGCACGCACGCACGCACGCACGCACGCACGCACGCACGCGCACGCACGCACGCACGCACGCACGCACGCACGCACGCACGCACGCACGCACGCACGCACGCACGCGCACGCACGCACGCGCACGCGCACGCGCACGCGCACGTGCACGTGCACGCGCACTTGCATGCGCACGCGCACGCGCACGCGCACGCGCACGCGCACGCGCACGCGCACGCGCACGCGCACGCGCACGCGTCGCATGCATGCAAAGGCGTGTGTATTTACGTGTCAGGCGCATGTTGAGGCTGCGCCGTTCCTTTACTGCATGAGCAAAGCACACGCGCACCGACACGCTCTTACACACGCGCATAGGGCAAAGAGATGTAGCGCGGAACGTGCATGCGCTTAGATTATGAACACGGACTCCGGACGTGTGTTTGCGCTGCAATCACGCGTGTGTGCAGAAAGCGCATGTGCACATATTGTAAAGCATGTTTAAGGTACACACATTGGAGCACATTCCTCTATTTGCTGGGCAAGCACAGGACACAGGCCGACTCTTTACGTTTGTTTCTCGTTTTTTTTCCGCACGTTCTGTTCCACGCGCCTGCACGATCGAAACTTCACATGTGCACATATGTGCGCAGAAAGGACACACAATTGTGTTTTGGAGTATGAACACACTTGCGCCCACACGTGTTCCCACACTCCAAACACGCAGGGTACCATGTGTGTATGCGCAGAGCACGCATGTGCATGCAACACAGATAGATGTGACACACAGGTGTATAATTCCACAAAAACCGCAATTGCAACGGTCGAGGCAAAAATGTGTGTTCACGGAGTAAAGAAGACCGCAAATTTGTACTGGCTTCAATTGTACGTGCGGACAAGTGTGGCAAAGGATGCGCGGAACACATGTACCGCGCGCGCATACGCCGCAAACACACATGTGCACATGCGTGCGCACGTGCGCGACACATATCCTGTAAATGCTCGGAACACACGTGCGCACGATCTAGGAGAAGCGAGCACAAACTTGCACATGTTCGAAACGCACACGCGCATCAGTGCGATCACGGAAGCGTCAATCACACTTGCGCTTGCGCCGTTCCCGGAGTGTCTGTTCGCACTGCAAACACACACATGTGCGCACGGGCAGTGAGCACACACGAACGTATACGCCGAGCAACCAAGAGCGCACACTTGTACACTTTTCGATTCTCAGAACATGTCTGTGCGTGCATTGTGTGAAGAAGATCACACAGTTGTATACGCTCGAGGCAAAACATCTGTTTACAGGGCACACATGTGTAGACACTGCGAACGCACGTATACTTTCCGGCAAAAATGTATATGTTCAGAACACACTGCTGTACACACTGGTCACACGAAAATGAGCCCAGACTTGGCGACAATCGGAACAAATGCGAATAGAAAGAAGAAAGCGCAGGGTGCACTTGCACCTGAGTCGTGAGCGCACGCGTGCTTACGCTGCAATCGCATGATCACGCGCATTTCTGAGGAGAACAAGTGTGCGGACGGAGCAGACGTTCTAGTTACTTGCGGAACACACATTTGTATGCACTGCGCTCACACATGTGCAAGCGCTGAGCAGATCAAGGAAAACGGAAGAGATGGAAGAGCACCAAACAAACAAGAGCACACTTGTACACGTTCGAAAGACACATGTGTGTTCACAGAGCACGGACCGCACATGCGCAGACATTGAGCGCACATGCGTGCATACGCTGAGCAAACACAAACCTGCACACGTTCGAAAAGAAGCGAGTGCATCAGTTTGAAAAAGTTATTTTCGGTTCACTTCGAATTCGCAATTGCACCTGTGTATGCATGGGGGCTAGCAAGTGCGACAAACACTGAAAAGAGTAGAATGAGGTTAGAGTCATTTTTTTGTTTGTTGCATCTTCATCTCGGCGCGGCAATGTTGCTGGGGGAAGGAGCTTGCAGGCGCACGTGTATGCACGCGGAACACCAGTATATACGCTGTGCGCATGCGCAAAATACATACGTGCGCACTGGGAACGCACATTTGTTTACAGCATTATTTACATGTGGGCAAAGGACACGCGTGCATACAGTCCGAACACAGTGCACAAAGAGCGATTTGGACACACACACACACACACACTCGTGTGCACACTCGGGACGTGCATGTGATTCGCTCAGAGCATACATGTGTTTTTGCGCGCGGCAATTACGTTTGGCAAAGAAGTTTGGTTTGTTTGCAGCAGCTGTGTCGTGGTATTGCACGCTAGCCTGCGCTGTCATGCGGTCGTTGGCTAAATTTGCTCTTTGCTTGCTTTCAAATTGACACATGTTGTTTCGCTCATATGTTTGGGTTCCAGTTGCAGATGATGCAAGCTAAACTGAAAATTGACGTGGCTTCGCCGCATGCCGTTTCAGGTCATTGCTTTACCCATCCCTGTTTCATTAGACAACATGTTCACGCTGCAAAATGTTTGGGGACGCCAGGCACCGGAAGAGCACATTGAATTCGCTTAGCGGGCTGTGGTACTTTTGGAGCTGCAGTCCTACCAACAGGCTTTGAACAGTGTCTCGCGGAGTTAGTCTTTGTTTTCTTGTGGTGTTGGTTGTTCGTGTCCTCAAGTTCTGTGAAGTTCAACCTGTTCTGCCTGGGGCATTGCATTGCCACAGATGCTTGCGCAAGCCGCGGGCCAGCTGCGAGCTTAAGATTGTTATTCGTGGGTGGGCAGATGCTCTATCCAGGAAAAGTTGCTAGGCCAGGTTGCCATCACGAGTTCGTTGGGCAAACCTAGGCAAAGCTTGTCCGGAGACAGCTGCGCGGCTTACGAGTTTTGCCACCGCCAAGATTTGGCAACAGAATCACAGGTGGTTGGAATCGGCTCTGGGTTGCCGGAGACCTCGCATGCCTTCCGAACTTCCTTTTTGCATCAACTTTCAGTGAAGAATGAGCCAGGGCAACCCCAGCCATCCCAGCCTCATGCCATGCCTCGCCTTGCGGGTTTACCACCGCCACCACGTCCTTGCTTCCCTAAGGGACGCAGTGCCCGTCAGGTCCCCAGGCTCTGGTGAAGAGCCATTAGACGCCTCGCACCTGAATCGAAGCAATCTACCTCGGCTGAGAAAAGAGATGGACCATAGGCAGGGGGCTAGTCAGCGCACTGGGAGGTTTAGAGGAATTCCCACCGCCGCCCAAGAACGAACGCTTGCCTAAGCAAAGTTGCTTGAGCTTTGTTAGCAGTGCTCACTGATGCAAGGGCTGGCGACTACCCCAAGCTCCAGCAAGGGTTATCGGCGCTATCGGCATATGTTGAGGTTGGAGCTTCGATGTCAACAATAAGCGAGCGCAATACTTGTGCACTTGTTCACTATGGGCACAGACGCCCGGCAGCCGTTTGCTCCGACCTTCAGCATAGCCGAGCAAGGAAACGTGGCGTAACTTCTGAGGCCACAGCTTGTTGATCCCTCGCATCAGCGTCAATTGCAAGCAGGTTGCCAATCCGTCGCTTAGCATTGCAATCTGAAGCCACTGTATTACTTTACCAAGATAATCCGCAAGTCATGTGTTGGATTGGGTCGCAATCACCAATCGGACACACAGGAATAGCATCAGTAGCAGGGTGCTTCCCACCTGCCCAGCTTATGGCTGCATCAGAGCTTGAAGCGCGCGTCTCAGGGTGCAGAGATTGGAGTCAGCAAGTGTATTTGTTGCAACGCGATTTGGCAAAGAGCGTACTCCTACTCATGCCTCAGTCAATTTGCACATTCTGAACCATGAAAGGTTCGCATCCTTTTCTTGGGTGACCATCACGATTGAGTTGACCAGCAGTGTGGCGAGGTTTTGTATTCTGTGTGTTTAGTAATTGCCGTGTTTGCTTGGGCAATGAATGCCGTTTGCGAGCTTAGTGAGTGTTTCAGTTGGCGGTGCCCGTTCACCTGGAGCTGATGACGTGTCACGCACGGCATCGAAGCAAAACCTTTGGTGGCCGAGGCAGCAGAAGGCACTGAAGGCACTCTGGCACCAGCCTCAGGGATTGTGGCGGTGCAACTGCTACTGAGTTACTGTTTCATTTTTTTCGCGGCGGTGGAGAAGATCATGGGGTGGTTGATGCTTCCGTGTGATTTCTGATGCTTCAAGTGGATTAGGAAGCCGCTCAGCCTCTCGTCCAGGCATCATGAGGCGCAGCTGGAAAAGGATGGTGGCTGACATGTTGCTAGGTTCTATGTCAGCGTCAATTCGGGTGGGTGGGGGAAAAGCGCACCACATAGCGTTGCAAGACGTCTTCAAGGTGGGCATGGCTCGTGGAGCTTGCTCTTTAAAATGAGAAGCACCTGATGCCCGCTTACAGTTTTGAATGGGCGCGCTTGGTTGAGCACGCTCCGCCTGCGTGTGTGTCCCTCCCGCATTTTTTTCAAAAAGCTGTACGCGTGTGGGCCGGGTGGGCCGGGTGGGCCGGTGCTCAGGTATTCAAGCTTGCAAGCACTTCGCCAGCTTTCCAGGAGGAGCGCCCAGAGCAACTCTGCTGTAGTCAGCCCTGGGCAAAAGCGAGCCATGTTTGCGGGAGAGACCGCCAGACATCAAGAGATCGGAACTTTACTGCTTCTTGAAGTAGGGCTTTTTTGGACAGGTTGTTGTCGCAGTGGTCCTGCTAAAACTCGTCCAAAAGGGCAGTTGCAGCCCGTGAATAGTTGCTGCCGCCATGATTGAATTTTCGCCACCATGAGTGGGCATCTTCTCCCCCCGCCAGGGTTTGCCGCCGCCAGAGATGTCCCCCTTGGCCTCCCCACAGCGGATGCCGGAGCCTCAGCAAGAGGCATTGATCACTTCAACGCTGCCTGGAGGCAGGATGGCAAGAAACCTTTTGTACCAGCAAGCTCTACCAGCAGAAGAGGGCACAGGCTGTGCACGTGTGTGTTTGCATCCGGAGGCTGCGAGAATCGGGGTCACCCACATCGAGTAAAGACTGCCCGTTAAGTGTCAGTGTCAGCTTTGCCTTTGTTGAAGGCGTTTGCAAACTAGGGACCTCAGCAGAACAGTTGGTTCAATGTTAGCTGACAACATTTCTAGCCAATGGATCCACCAGCTCCGGCATTTGTCATGTCCGGTTGCGCCGACTACAGGTCCAAGTCTGGGCTTTGCCCTTGCGAGGACGTCGAGCAGCGATTGGCCAAGCCGGAGTCAATGGGAAAGATGTGGGGGAATGACTGTGGCCCCGACCAAAATAAGGTCCTTGAATCGATTGGCTAGAAGATTCATTTCCCAGGACCAGCGGGGGGCTCATCGAAGGCTATCTAGAACTAGCTATTGGCCCTTGATGCCTTGTTGTTTGCTGCTGGTCGCAGTGGGAGTTGTTCGGTCACACAGGCAATGAGACCATCAGTTCATGAGCGTTGAATGCAACTCCCTGCGCAAGTCGCTGATCGTTTCGCCTGCTGGAATTTCTCGGGCAGCAAGCTTATGACACGGTTATTGAGTCACACACCCATCCAAACAAATTGTTTGTGGGGAACGTGAAAGCTTTGAGGCACGGAATAAAACACATGTATGTTCTGTTTCAGGCTGTGGCGACAGAAGTCCCGCATGGACGCGCTCTTTGATGCTGGCGAGGGTCAGGCGCAGTCTCATTCTCGAGCCCACAGCCCCATGGCTTCCGCATTGAGAAGCGGGTAAACGCTAATACGTAGGGGCAAGAGAAGGCTGAAGAACTGGGTCTAAAAGTGGCGCAGGCGTACTGGCTGGCGCGTGATGAAATCTACCCGCAAGTCGCTGTCTCAGATGCCTTGGTGCAGTAGCCTGCATTCGACCGTGGCAGTTGCTCGCGACAGGCACACGCAGAAGACGAACAAACAAAACAGAAAAAAAAGAGGCAGAGACACCAAGTCTCTTGTGCACGCAGGGGCATACCCGAGCAAGTGCCAGTGCTGATACTGGCTGGCACAGCATCCCAGTGCCTGCCAAGCAGCAGGCATTGTTAAACACACTGGGGAAGAAATCAAAATTGTTCAAACATGTCCATCAGCTTTGCTAGCAAAAAACCCACATTTTCAATCTGCCTCTCTTTGGACACTGGCCGATTGCACATTTCACATCAGCAGCTTCAGCCTCCCCGTTCTGTGGACAATTATTCAATGTTGATCAATACCACGTCAAACAGGCTGCAGAAGTGTCACTTGGTGTGAATGCTTGTGTAGGGCTTCAGACTTGATTGCTCGCACATTTGGGGCAGATAAGCACCATACCGATCTCAGACGGAGGCAGATAGAATTGGCCAAAAACCTGTAGTTGGTAGAGCCAACACGGTTGGTGCTTGATCCATTTAATCTTGCAACCGCAGTCTGGTCTCGCATAGGTTTGGAATCCGATGGACGGCCGAGGCAGCAGATCGTGGCGGGCCCTTAGGCAATAGAGCAGGCGACAAACTGGAGGATAGTGTGCCCGGCGGACGCTGTGAACTTATAAGACTGGACAAGACAAAGCGCAGTTGTCAGCAACTCCGTTTCTTTTTGGGAAAGGATTTTCTCTTTAGCCCAGAAACAAGAATCATAGCCTGGACTGTGGCAGTTGGGTTCTGGGTTCGTTTTTCCCGGAAGCATTGCGAAGGGTTCTTCTTCTAAAAGCGGCTGCCAACTTCACCTGCCAACTTCTCATGCCAACTTGTCGAGAGTTACTTCACCTGCCACCTTCTCATGCCAACTTGTCGAGAGTTACTTCACCTGCCAACTTCTCATGCCAACTTGTCGAGAGTTACTTCACCTGCCTACTTCTCATGTCAACTTTTTGAGAGTTACTTCACCTGCCAACTTCTCATGTCAACTTTTCGGCTGTTATCTCATTCTACTAAAAGCACAAGCTAATTTGTCGGGTGTTACTTCACTATCCTAAAAACACAAGCTAACTTTTCTGTTCTACCTTCACTTCTCGACTCTTAATTCTTCTTCTTTTTCCCGGAAGCATTGCGAAGGGTTCTTCTTCTAAAAGCGGCTGCCAACTTCTCATGCCAACTTGTCGAGAGTTACTTCACCTGACAACTTCTAATGCCAACTTGTCGAGAGTTACTTCACCTGCCAACTTCTCATGCCAACTTGTCGAGAGTTACTTCACCTGCCTACTTCTCATGTGAACTTTTTGAGAGTTACTTCACCTGCCAACTTCTCATGTCAACTTTTCGGCTGTTATCTCATTCTACTAAAAGCACAAGCTAATTTGTCGGGTGTTACTTCACTATCCTAAAAACACAAGCTAACTTTTCTGTTCTACCTTCACTTCTCGACTCTTAATTCTTCTTCTTTTTCTGGCGGGGGTAGGCCCGACAGGAGCTTACGAAACGCACCCCTCTGCGGAGATCGTGCGTGTCGAAGCGCTCTCGCTGTGGCGCCGTGCGAATTTGTCTTGAGCCCGGCGAACCCTCTGCGGAGATCGTGCGTGTCGGATCGCTCTCGCTGTGGCGCCGTGCGAATTCTGTCTTGAGCCCGACGAACCCTCTGCGGAGATCGTGCGTGTCGAAGCGCTCTCGCTGTGGCGCCGTGCGAATTTGTCTTGAGCGCGGCGAACCCTCTGCGGAGATCGTGCGTGTCGAAGCGCT